AATCCTCTTAATTTAATTAGTTTTGCTAATTATTTCTCAGTTCCTCTTTCTTTTAAAATCAATCTATTAAACGTATTAGGAATATTTTTGTACACAATAGAAACTATAAAAATAATATAATACTTATATACACAAATACTCGTATCGTTTACTTTATACGATATACTTATGGTTGTATTTTTTTGAAAATAAAAATTAATTTTTTTACTAATAGTAGTATGGTATTATTTGAGTAGTTTAAGCTAATTTTGTATAGTTTTCAATACAGGTAAATTTAATTTTATAAATACATACATTTATGCAATTTATATTTAAAAAACAAAAAAAAATAAAGAAGAGAAATCACATTTAAAAAAAGGCCAATGATTGACTTGTTCCCTTCCTTGGGACTAAAGATAAAAGAAAATTACCTACCGGTATTACGTATAATCAAGTATAAAATATTTTTACGTAAACGTCGTATCTATACAAAACGTACGTGAGTATACAATTTATAAAACAAATATACAATTAAATTTCAAAAAAAAATATTTTTTAAATTAACTCGCGTTTCGTTTTGTTTAGATAACTTTCATCCTATAATTACACAATTATATTTGATGCAATTAAAATATAAATACATAATAGTATTTGTTGTTTGAAATAGTATTATTATTATATCGTGTGTTTATAACTCGTAAGTTTTCAACTTAAAAACATGACGTAGTAATTAGTAATGTAATTGAATATTATTTAGAAACTCATAATAATTATAATAATTACACGATTAAAAGTCTCAATAAACTATTGACAACGATATTTTAATACATAGGTATACGAGTAGGTTAATGTTTGTCTAAAAATTGCATAATTATATAATTTTATTTAATTATTATTATTGTAACATAATACATAATATGTATTATATTATACGAAAAATCGTACAATTTTTTTTTTTTTTTTTTTTTTTTTAAAAAACCAAAAATAACGAAGATTAGGTACGTTAAGAGTTTTTAAATGCATAGGAGTATAGAAAAATAAAATATGTTGTCGTTATAGACATCAATAATATAAGAAACGTCCATTAAAAAATAATAATTATGCAAATGTACGGCTGAAAAATTCGAATAATGTACACGATAATTTATACCGAAAACAAACATCACGTTTAAACAAGTTCACTTGGATTAATATATACAGGTAGGTAACCTACGAAGATTTGCATAATTTTTATTTTATTTGGAAGTAGGTATTAAAAAAAAAAAGTATAAAAATAATAATAATAATAATTTAAACAAATCCTGATTAAACGGAGTAATAGTACTAGAGTAGTCGTTTCGATTTTGCTCAAGACGCGTATTATATTATAATATGTAAATAATATTGTGGATGTATTTTCTGACTTTTCTTAAGTCCTGTCGACGTGTCGGGCATGCGCATTATGCTATTTTAATGGAAAGAAATGATGAAATATAATACGTTTTTCTCACCTGTACTACCTATATAAATGCACAGGTATCTAAACTGTTTTTGTTCTTTTTATTTTTATAAGAACATCTAAAACATAATACTATCTAAATTAATTCGGATAGCACGATGTATATAATTGCTTACGTATCCAATACTTAGTGTATATTATATTTCTTCGGTCCCAGGGACGAAGGGCTTAAGTCAATTTATGGCATATTTTATTTTATAATTTTGTCCTATGTGTACCTTATTCTTCTCATTCTATGTTCTAAATGACAGAGTGTATGTATATTGTATTTCCCATAACTGTGATGTACTTTTTGTTTGGCAAAAGGGCATGTCATATATTACATGACTTGTTTAGAATGTGATAATTAAGTTAAGCCATTAACCAATTATTTTATTTAACAATTATCTTATAATCTGCTTGTATTGAAAACTATACTAAATTGGCATAAGCCCTTTTACCGTGGAACCAAAGATTTTTTCCTACAAATTATTTACCTGCATGATACGTAATTTGTAACACGTAATTTGTAAAGATAACGGAAAAAAACCCGACAATTATTTATCTATAGTTAAAAGGTACCTAACATTTTAAATAAATAGGTACCTAATTACTAAGATTCTGGTGCGAATTTACCATTTGTCGAGTTGTACGCAGAGGTTAGGGCAGATAGGGCGTTTGAATAAATCAACCCTTTTTCAGAATGTATAGTTCCGAATCATCGTGGTACATCTCTACAGAACACGTAAACCCTTGTATAATAGCTTTTTTTTACTAGTATTATATTATAATAACTGTATAATATGTACTCGTATATTGCATTGCAATATGTGATATACGATTATTAAGTTTTTCAAATCTTAAGCGTGAATAATATATTTCCGTAAATATGAAAATAATTATAAACGTTTCTGCAAGAGAGTGAAAATAATATAATAAACATACCCCGTAAAATCGATTTCCGAACATATTTTAAGAGTTATAATTAAATTCCCTGATTACCTAAATATAATTAATAATAAATCGAAAATAATACTATTCAAAAACCAATATTTACACCGATAACAAAAACCGTGTTACTAAAAAATTTAAACGGATCAAACTCTACCCTTAACTTGAGGGAATTGGCGCATTTGATATTAACTCCGGTGTAATAAATATATCTGAATACATATTGTATAGTTATTTGTTTAGCGGTTTTTAATAAAAATAAAAAAAAAAAAAAGTTGTTAATCAGTCCTGTTAATCTAAAATTCGAATATTATTTTACGTTTTACTTGAACATTATTGCTGTGTATAGAAATAAAATGACAATAATAATAACTCTGCATTAGTGTATTATACACCTATAGCCCTGTTAAACATTCGAACACGTGTATTTAAATACTTTAAAATACAGTGTTATCGTATTTGTATTCCAGAATATAAAATACATTTGTCCGCGTTGCCTTTGCATTACAATATTTTTGTATTTACTGATTTTAAAATTTAATTTTACCTAAAAAAATAATTCATAATAGTTCTAAGAATTTCTAATAAAATTTCTTTTCCGTGTATTGTTATAACCTAATAACTCATTATAATAATGCAATCTACTTGGCTAAAGTCAACCTTATAAGCTCATTTATTCATATAACTAAATAATATACTAATATGCAACATATGAAATTATTAAATGTATTTAAATTATCCGTAAACAAGTTTAAGTGTTTATTTGTTGAATTTAAAATCTTTCAAGAAGCAGCAAATGTATTGAAAAAAAAAAAGGAAGTATTTGAATAGTTTTAACAAGCAGGTATATTTTTGTTTATATTCAAATACTTTTAAAACAAAATATTCGAATGCAATTTGCACAAGTATTCAAAAACATATTCTGAATATATTTAAAAAGTATTTTCAATAAAATTATCTGTATAACTTAAAATTTAATTTAGTTATTATTATTGATACTGCGTTAACGATTATTATTATTATTATTATTATTATTATTACTACACATGCATGTTTGATTATTGATATCAGCTCGATTATCGCTGTTCAAATTATAAAGTTAAAGTACTAATATTGACTAATACTGATATTGTTGATTAACTAATATCGTATGTTTAAACTAATCATTTGATGTCTAAATGATCGGGTCGGTGTTCGTCTCTTAAGCTATCATCAGTCGCCATGATGGACATAAAACATAGCAACACTGTTGGCTTTCTCATAATATTAATTACACCGACATAATAATATGTATTATGTACACATAATAATATTATTGTAAGTATAGGTTTACTGATTTCCGTGTTTCTTTAACAATATACAATTTTGATTGTTATTATAATTATTGAAGCTTATACGTTTATAAATACTCCAAACACAACTTCCAAATATTTATTGAAATGTATGCCGTAGGTATGTACTTTATATACACGACGATTATAATTATTAAATATGAGAAAAGTACAAAAATATTTGAGAGTGCTCGAATAAAAAAAAAATGGCTAACGATAAATGATTCTGAGCAGTGTTCGGTTACACATGGTTTTTAAACGCCTTATTTTTTACGATTTTTGTCAAATTAAAACAAAAAAACCAAATCGAAATTAATGAACCCGCTATTGACGTAAAATGTCTCGTTTTTTTCTACGTTTTCCTCAGTGTTCCCTAATAGTTAAGAAATCTATAAGGAAAATCAAAAAATTACCAGCCCACTGTACCAACTATATATAATACTAAAGACAAACACAAAAGATACTTCATTTGAAAACCAGAGTAATATTACTGGTGAAAATATTGTCAACAGACAGCAAAAAAAAAAATAATAATAATAAAAATATGAATATAAACTGCAGTGATCGATATAATATTTTGAACAAGGAAACAAAAACATAGGCCTGCGATATCTACAGTAGTTTCGGTCGATATGCTCGTTATTATAGCATCGATTTCAGATCCGAAACTTTGTCGTAGTATTAGCCATTTCTATAGACGTTTCCCGTGCAAACACCATATTATATTTTATATTATACACGTCCGTTTCTTTTTTTATTTTTTTTTATTTTTTACACGTAAATACTCTCAGTTTATATCGCATAGACCGTATATAATATATAAACCGTACACTGCCGCCCGCAGCAGAAACACCATTAAAATCGGATCAATTATATTTACTGCAGCAGGGATACTCCCGCCATCACCTCGATATATTAAAGGTATACGGGGTGATTCGTTTTTCACGAACCAGCATTTAGGTTTACTAGATACATCCATACCGTGGATTGTCCGAGTAAATATTATCTTATTTTGTTTTTTTTTAATCATGAATCGTTTATAATGATTTTATTTAAAATATAATTTGTCCTAACTCCAAGATGGCAACTGTTCGTCGGGAGAAACATAACACGTTTTCGACACAAACGTCTCTAATTCCAAAATGACAACATTTTATACGGATTTTTCTATTCAACGCGACAATTTATGTGTATTTGTATGCACTTTCACAGGAAAATAATTATACGTTTGTTCAAATGCGCATGTTTTTAAACGGTGTTTCATTGGATATATCATGCATAAACACGAAATCATATTTTTGTGGTTACGACTGTCGGGAATTAGGCCAACGATATAATAATGAATGCATTGACTTTTGATGATTATATCGAATATCGACCAATCACATAATATCGAACTCTTATTCGAGATACGCCCTGTATAAACAACCTATACGGTTCTTTCGAGGCGGTGGCCGGTATCTTCTACTGCTGCTGCTGTTACGGACATAACATATATAATATTATATTATCATATGCTCGGCGTCCCTCGTCCGTTTATCCCGCATTTGGACCGGGCTGCGAAGGGCCAGAGGGGGCTGTTGCCGTCTCCCTCGCCGCGGTCCGCGCTGCAGTTTTATCCGTACGACAATAAATTAACCTCGTGGTCACCGCCGCAGAGCAAGAATATATTATAGGTATATAGTATAGAGAAAGAGCCGAAAGACGGCCCTCGGTAGCGGTTGAAAACGTATTTCGACGACGGTTACACGGTCTGGACGCGATACAACGGCGAGATAACAACAGATAATATTTATTCTATATTGTATTTTTTTTCTTACAAAGAACGTCATCGGTTTCCTTATTCCCTTTCGGTACGTGGGTACACGACTGGTGACGTCTCGATATAACTACAATCCCGTAAGTAGACGGAGAAAGAAAAACAATATATCGATGCACGTATATCCTAAACGATTAAAGAAAAATAAAACGGAAATCCTATCTTAGGTATACTTACTTACATACAGTTGGTTATTAATTTGACGGTCACAAATGTTCGATCGCAATAAACAAAACGCAGCTATAAACAGCCTGTAACGACTTTAAACATCACTTGAAAAGAATCGACAAACTAATTTTATTACCTACTTGCGAGTTTGTTTTGTCGTGATAAAGAAAAAAAGAAACTTGACGAATTCAAACAATTCCGTTATATTAGTTTCTTAATAATTTTATACATTTTTGAAATTCAATTATACAATTTATTGTGTTGGTATACGCCCAATAATCCGCATATTATTTTTCGATACGAAAGAATGTTTTTATATTTTAATCTCGTAAAGTGAATAATGTATAAACATATAGAAACTGTTTACAATATTTTAATATAGTTTGTAAACGAAAAACAAAATATGTTTAATAATATTCCACGGGAAATTCAAATTATTAATAAAATATGTTGGGTAATATTATTTTAGTGGTGTTCTTATTGCACATTCGAATTCCGTTTTTTTTATTTTAATATAAATACACGAGTTGGTTTAAGAATATAAGCTATGGAAAAACTTTGTTAATTTCTATATAATACACTACAACACGCCCTCCTCAGCATATAAGAAAACCCTACGGAAAGTTATTTTTCCCGCTGCACTCGATGCGTTTTGTCTAATATAAAATAAATAGGGGTGAGCTGCAATTCTTTACAAACAAAATATTCGTACACACATTTCAATTTAATACAATATAACGAAGAAACTCATTATGCTAAATAATGTACCATTTTACTTATCACACTAACATAATATATATTTTATGCCATCCAGGAACGTTTCGACTGATAAAAAGGTTTCACCGTATAAAAACCCCTCGTTATATTTGGCAGTAAAATACCTATACAAGCCTATACAAGCATATTAAAGCGTCAGATTCTGTTGTAAATTTTCGTTTCTTATTATTCGAACGATAATAATTTATTTTTATAATGAATGATGTTCAATATTTATAACATGTAAAGATAACATTGATTTAACAGTCAATTTAAATTTGAGCTTATTTTCGAAAAATGTTTTCAGCACACTTCTCATTCTTTCACTGGGCACATTATATTTTCTCTCTAAATATCGTTTTCTAATTGACTACATGCGGTTAGTGATATTACCTTTACTAGCGTAACTGATATTTTTATAATATAAAACGGAACGTAACTGGCGTATTGTCGTAATATATACTTAATTTGATAACAGTTACCAAACTAAAGTACAGATCACATACAAAATATTTATCAAGTATAATCTACATATTCCTATCGTCATAATCGACGGTGTCATTTTTTTACACTCGTGTAAATAATATTGCACTACACTGTCATAGAGAATTTGTATTGTCTACCATGGTGATGGTCGGCAAAAGGTGAACACAAAAGTGCAGTCAGATGGAAAAAGCAACACGAGTTTTTGCCAATATTTCGCCACCTGTCTCTATATTTAACTTTACCTCTCTCTAGTTTTCAACACTCAATCTTTATAAATCTTCTCTTTCACCACGTCAAACCGTATCTTGCTCTTTTCCGCCAGGTTTTTATCCGTCGCTGTCCTCGTTTTATAATCTCCTCGTCATTAAGCCATCTTACTATTTTATCTTTTGCATTTTAATAACGAAGCTATTACCACCGGTGCTTAGTCCGCCATATTGTATACAGTTCCAAACAAACCACCTTTGACAGTTCTTCTTTATTTCATCGATAGTCTACATGGTTTTCTCCGCGCTTTATTTTTGAAAGTAAATATTATAGTACATTTGTTTGAACTTACGTGCCTAATTATATATTTACAGTATATAAACATAAGTAACTAAAAAGTAATCACCATCACAAAAAATCTGTGGGGATTTTCACGGTGTAGACTGTAGGTGAATATTATCAAATAGTTATACGACGCACGCATGTAATACAAATACACTGCGGTATATTTCCTTATTTAAAAAAATATAAGTACACAACATAAAAAAGCGGTACATATTACGTTAAAAATAAATTAAACATTAATCTTAAAAACTCATATGGACATCCCGGAAACTAAATTACCCATTAAGATAATACAATTGTTTGAATACGCTTAGACGTCTAGTGAATGACGGTATATAACAAAAGATTTAGTCTGAAAATGTTTTAATCGAAAACGTGAAATCGTTTTCCCGCATAATGTAATTCATTGACCTAATTAAATTTTAAAACATATTACTCAAATTATAATAATATATATATACATTAAACATATACCTATTACATGAACAATCGTCAAAATATTATTAAATTACACTCGTAAATCGTAATAATAGTATATATATGGGGCACAGTATGCTGAATCCCCCCCCTGAAATTTCTTTCTCGACTGAGGAATGTTAAGTAAAATTCATAAAACCAGCACATACATATTTTTTAATGCTGTTAGTATTGTAAATCAAAATATATTTAACTAATTAAGTAGTTGTTATGGTATTATTTTGAATGTCAAATTTATATCATAATCAGGGCCAGTTTTAAGGGAAGACAAGTAGAGCTTACATCCAATGCCTCACGCTTTCAGAAGCTTCGCATTTATGGGCCCATAAAAAAAGGATAGCCTAATTATAATCTGCGTAAAACCAGAAAAATAATATTTTTAGTAACGATATTTTAGAAAAAAACACGTACACGCACGTTGTCTTATCAAACAGTATTTCCGGCCGTTGTCAAGTGTTGGGTATTATTACAAGTATTGGGTGGAAGATGTGGTATAGATTAAGTTGAAAAAAAAGTCTCGCAAAAATAAATTTATCCAAGGCCTCGTAAATCATAATTCCGTCCCTGAACATAATAACAGTGGTTTTACAGTATCATTAGTTTCCTTTTAAAATTAGTTGTTTTCGCATCATATCGACAACAGTCTTCTAAACCGACAAATGCATTTACAAGTAGCACTACTGTACTAATGAAGCTGGTACCTAGTTGAAGTATACCTAGTATATAATACTTAGTAGTTGGGAAGTTATTTTTCGATTTTCTTAGTAACATTTTCTAAATAAATCAGAAAAACTGACGATTTTTGGTGACATTTTTATTGATTGCTGGGTTGTCTTGGCAACAAAGGCGAAAATACGACTAATAATACTCTGTTCAGAATATTTTTGCGTTAGCAATGATATATCGTTGCATACAGATATAAATTGCATTTTTATTTAATATTTCCCCCTTAAAATTTCCCTTCTAAAACTCACCGATCAGCAGTATCAGACTTTTTTGCTTTTCTATAGAACAAACTATAATTTATTTTATTCTAAGGATTTATTTATATTTTAAACCTTTACACGCACATTACCTAAATACAGTACAAGTTTTTAAGTGAAACTTCTCAGCTTTTTTGACCCAAATTATCGCAGTAATAACCCCGTCGTCGTTGACGTTAACGAAATCACTTTACCGTGTAGAGAAGCATTTTGATAGATACCTACCACACTATTAATTGGTTAAGGGCTTTTAAAGCCGTGTCCAGGAATAAGTTTTAAGACGCAAAAACGTCGGCTTATTATTACATTATAATAATATATATAGTGACGAAAATAAAATTGTTTTTTTTTCTCTTTCTCTTAATTCCTTCATCTTGTCTACACGTAAAACCAATCACGTATACAAATACAATCGCCCGAGACGATCGAATCGGAAATATTTTCAGACATTAGTATTTTTATTATTTCGCGATATTTTTTTGTACGGTGTTCATAATTATTAAGTATTATTATGTACATTTTAAAACCGCCTGTAGCCAATAATAAACTGTCCGTTCCGTTCAGGTGTGGATTAACCAGTTTACGGATTAAACGCGATTAAAAATACAAAATAATAATAATAATCCATAAATACCGAATCCATGCAGCTCGGCTGTCAATTAATTCGCATTGATATTTCGCATTTGGATATTTTACGACTATCCGATAATGGTTGTTGATTTGGTCGAAATAATATACGTATTTTGATATTCGGCGCATTATAAGTTATAAGTATTATTATTGAACTTTATAATACATGCACGTTGTTTTCGAATTAATATTATAAATTGGGTACTATACATTCTACATATTATTTTGTCAATATTTAAATAAAATTTCGAGATCCATAAATTTTAAAAATCGTTAATCCGCAAACCCCTTGGTCTTGTGTATAGAAGTCGTCGTCGGCTCGGATATTTGAGATTCAACTGCATTAACCATTGCCGAGACAATACATTATTATTCATTCGTCTTTCTTTACTCTTTACTCGTCTAGTCGTCTCTATGTAATATGCCATGAACAATTATTTAATTTATTCCCATTCGTTTGGCGAATAAACGTTTGAGTTATTTACATCTTCAAAACTGCAAAACGTTTGCAGATAGTATACTGGTATACAAAATAGTTATTTCAGTAAACTTTCCCGTTTTTCCTAAATATTTCCCGGGTTTAAATTATATAGAAAATTACAAAGACAATCAAAAAATTGAGGCAAATTTTTGCCTCACTAATGCACTAATTAAATATATTTCGGTTTCAAAAAAAAATGCAACACTTA